TAGTCTCTAATTAGTAACTGTAGGAGTAGACTATGCTAGCATCTCTTTCCTGAAGCCACTGAGCAGCTTATACAGTAGTATGGTGATTTAGACACCGATCTGCTTAGCTTTAACCACGTCAGAAGATCACCTGTTCTTTAGGCCCCAGTTTCATGATGAAATGGAGGAGGAAGAGCAGGATTGGAAATATACTTTTCTCTGGGGAACGTGTATAGTATTATATGACATAATTTATTTGGACAATGAACTCCTTTTGAAAGCTTTCTGAATAACTCTCTAATATCAGAGTCATTTTCCAGTTGCATGTTTGTTGCTTATACTGTACAGAAGGGATCTGAAAGTCTAGTAATATGATGAGGTAGACAACGTACCAGTTTGGGGAGGCTAATATATTGACAGGACATAGTGATATACATAGTGATATACTCAGAAATGATTCTTTAAAGTATAACTTTCAGTGAAACTTTTTCAAACTTGGCTTATTGAAGTTTCTGGCAAATGAAACATCACTCTTTCATAAATGTTACTTTAGACAAAAGATGTTAAAAGATCATGTGGCTCAGGAAATTGATTGGATCCACAAAAGTTCATCTTGAAACAATTTTATAAGTCTTAATAGTTCTACAATATTTTGTTATTGTTTTGTTGACTTTGTGCTATACGTATTGATTGCTCTACAGTCTACAAAATTATTGTTACTTGAATTGGCTTGTAAGCCCCATCTACGTAGGACTGTGGTAGACTCTTGTTTTTAAAATAGGGCAACTTAAGAATTCTCCATCTTGTTGTTTGATCCATACTTAGTTTTCCCAGAAGCAAAATAAAGCAATACCATGGAATAAAAATAACAAAATAAAAATTTGTATTCTTGAAGTATTTGTAGCTGGTTGCACAACTACAAATACTCAACAATCCCACACACCACATCAGAACCCAGACAGAATTCTAGCTCCTGTCCTCTGAAGATGCCGGCCACAGAGACTGGCAGAACATTAGGAAGAAAAACTTCCATGACATGGCCAAACAGCCCAAAAAACCTACAACAACCATCGGATCCCGGCTGTTAAAGTCTTTGAGAATACAAAATATTTTTTTTTCATCAAAGTCTAGTGCAACCAGTGTAGAACATTAGCACTAACACTTAAATTTGTTCATACCCAAGGCCCTGTGAAATAGCAGTATTTTGACCTGGTGCTTAATAACCAGCCAATAACATAAAGTGAAATTAAGGAGTTTCATTGTTTCAGTGCCACCACTGAAAAAGCCTTGTGCTCTCTCTCTCTCATATAACTATTCACTGCAGAGAGTGCATGAAAAAGAAGGTGGGTTTTTAAAGATTATCTTAGTGCACAGAGGCAGATTCATCTAATAAATTTAAGAGCATCCTTTGCCTGAAATACTGAGGTGTGTTATTAGAGAACCACTGATAGAATAAAGACACTGGATTCATATTTGTGTGTTTGCTATAGCTGTTAGCAGTTAGGTGAGAATTCTTGTTTTATGTCTCTGTATATTCTGTGTGTTTCTGCATCTGATGGCAGGGAGAAACTGTGCAATGGCTTTAAGCTAAACATAGTTTTAATATCAGCTTTCTTAAGAAGCTGTCTTTTCTTATGTCCAAACAATTTATTTTCCCATTCTGATAGTGAAAATTGCGAGATCAGCACACACTCCATCAAAACTGTATGAAAACTTGTTTTAAATAGGATTGACTCCTCTTTGGCTCTGATATCTGTATCCAGTACAGTACAGTATTGTTTATCCACAGCGGTAAAACATTTAGTTGTTAAGCTTGCCTTTCTTTTTACATTTGAAAAAGAGAAAAATAACCTGAAATTAAAGATACAGTTTTCTTGAAAATGACTTAATGTTTGATTTAGAGTAATTAACATAGAAGTACTGTCTGTACTTTCTTGAGCCCTTTTCTGTAGATCTTGTTTGCATGTGTTCAGACTTGATTTCTGCATGAGTGAAAGAAGGGGAAAATACTTACTCATAAAACAATCCCCATAAGCTCTTGTATGAGCAATACTGTAAATTATGGTAGATCTGCAAACACAGTTTTCTTGTCGTCGTTTAGTCGTTTAGTTGTGTCCGACTCTTCGTGACCCCATGGACCAGAGCACGCCAGGCCCTCCTGTCTTCCACTGCTTCCTGGAGTTGTGTCAAATTCATGTTGGTTGCTTCATGAACTTTAATAGTTTTCTATTAGCAAGTAATTGTTAAAGTTTTTTCCCCTGAAAGCATGATATTTTTTGACACTCAGATTAATGTAGAAATAGAGGGTTTAGGTTTTTTTTTTGTAAGGCGTGCAGCTCCTTTGTCTCATTTTACTTGCTGGAAGGTTTGGTTGTAAAAAGTGGCTTTGATCCAAGAAAAGTCTCAGATACAATTGCTTGTCACTGCAATTTGAAAGGTTTTGCCAGGTTCACTTTATATTTTTACATTGTGGTTGTGCTCTCTCTCTCTCTCGCTCTCTCTCTCTCTCTCACTCACTCACTCACTCACACACACACACACACACACAGAGAGAGAGAGAGCAAGGACACCATGTGTGTTAAAAGAACTATAGGGTACATGCAGCACATGCTTTCCTTGTCTAATGTCATGGCCAGGGTCTTGTATCACTCACTATATGTTATCTAGTTACAGAGCTGGGAAACTCCTCTGACTGCCAGAGAAGACAGTACTAGGTTGAACAGATCTTTTGTGTGCTGGCTTTAATTTTTTTTTTGTGGTCTTCTGCAATTATTTCTTTTTATGAGTATACCTGTAATCTACAGATGTGCTGTTAAGTGACAGGGCAAGAAGTGGTTCCCTAAAGTTATGGCTTAACTAAGGTGTGTTAACGAAAGGGGTTGTGGGCATTCACTCTCCGTGCTCAACAACTTGGTAGCCATGTTCCCTCTGTTGCAGCCAATGCAGCTGGGAGTCTTGCAACAACTTCTACGGCCAACACATTTCTGTGCCATGAACTTTAAAGGACTACAGTCCGTCAGATACATTAAAGTCATCCTCGATTGAAACGCGTCTATATATGTGGATGAGTGGAATATATTGGCAAGATGTGCAAAAAAAAAAGTTTCAGACAACTAATATGAAAAGTGCTTTGCTGGATCCCATCAAACTCCATTTTACCCTGTATTATCTACAAGAATCCAAGCAAGCACCAGGCAGTCCACCAGTAATTGTCCTGGAGCCTACTGGTAGATAATCGTATGTTCTTGGTCTGAGACTTCCTTATTCATTTACTGATTATAAATTCCCAAGTGCAGCCTTTTCTGAACTTTCCTAACTTGTGTTTATGCTGGCTCCATAATACTGAATTTTCCAGTGCACGATTTGCTTAAACGAGCTCTAGAGACCTCCTGACTACATACAGTCAAATCGCTGAGCGTTAATGTTTGGCACTTCCCCCTACAAGGAATGTGGCAAATGCAGCTGTAAGATGGTACAGTACATGGGGCCACTCCTGCCCAGCTGTTCTCAGGTCCTCGTTGCTGGCCAGGATGATGGTGGTGGTGGTGGTGGTTTCTGGCCTTCCCTGAGCCAGCAGGCGAGAGCTGTGAGACCCTTCCCTTCCCCTCCCGCGCAAATGTTTTGCGGGTAGCGCCTTATCTTCTTGTTGCACTCTTTCTGCAAATGCACGTAGTAAAAGCCGTCTGTTGCAGGAGCTCCGGTGCTGTCTTAGATGCAAATTGAGAGTGGGGAAGGGAGGGAGAAATGCAGATTGCTTCCTGAGAGCTGGCGAGAGGAAGACGGTGTTATGATGGGGAACTGAAAGCTTGCGAATGCCGTGGTTATCAATAGCTGCCTTTCATGCCCTCTCAGACAGGAGCTGATGCTGTTGCACAAGAACAGCCGATGAGTCATGCCAAAGCAGCAGCTAGGAGAGGCCTGGCTCTCTTATCCAGGGCTTTTATTCCTTTTCTTTTACTCTAGCCCGCTGGTGCGTCTTGTGTCCTATATTTTGTGAACTCCCGCCTACCCGGTCGCAGCTGTTCGAGTCGGTGGGTAACGTGAAAAACAACAACAACCACGGGGGCCGAGCCATCCTATGCACGTCACATCAGAAGCAGGTCGCGTTGAGTTCCATGTGATCCCACACACCCCTTAAAAGTTTGCACAAGGTTTGCAGCCTTAAAACTGCAGCGGCCCTCCCGAAGCTTCCCGAGACGTCCGTGCACACCGAAGAGGTTGTCGTTTGTTTCTGCGCGTTCGCGCGCACAGGTCTGCACAAGGCAGATAAACCCGATCCTGTGTGCCTGGATCAGGAGGATGGGTGCCCCCGCAATCCGGGACAGGCACACTTCTTAGGCTGACCCAAGACGAATTACGGGGCACGCGCTTGCCTAGGATCAGGTTCCGGACTGGGCGTTTCGGGGTCCCGGTGGGGGGGGGTCGCATCGGGTGCTGCAAAACCCCCTCCAGGATTTGTGCTGCCTGTCAGTTTTTGGGGACGTAATTTAATGGGCTGCCAATTTGACTCTCTCCCGCGTTTTTTCCCCCCCGCGCTCCCTTCTCACCCCCGTCGAATTATTGAAGTTTTTTTTTTTTTTTTTTTACATTTCTGATCAGCATTGGTTTGTAGCCCAACGCGTCTCGGGCACACGCATGATTTCCCGGCGAAGCCTCGAAAAGCGAGAGGCCAAAGCAAAAGTCTCTCCAAGCTCCGGGTGAAAGTAAGTCAGCCCTATTCCGGGCAAACCACTGTTTCCAGTAACGTGATCGCGCTCTTCCCCCTGACCTTGCGAGCCTGATCGCGAGGTTGCGAATACGTGCCAGAGCAACTGGGCCGCCCCGCCAGCCAAGCACTTGGGAGGGACGGGCGAGCTCCAGGCTCTCGCTCTCTCTCTCGCTCACCCACCCAGAGTGTGGAGCTCCACGGGATGGTTATGGAAGAGGAGGAGGAGGAGGAGGAGGAGGGGGAGAGTTTCTTCTCCTAATAAGGCAACAGGAAACGGGCGGGACTTCGGCCTGCTGTCGGGCGGGGGAGCCGGAGCAGGAGGCGGTTGTGCTGATGAAGTGGAAGAGCTGGTTTTCCTTCTGTTGCAGAGCCGATGTGCGTATGTGTTTTTCTCCTTCTGCAGGAGGCTGCTCCACATTTCCTTGCCGGGAGTTGTGCAATCGCTCCGCTCGCAGAAGGGGAAAAAAGCGCGCGCGGGGGGAGAGGGAGAGAAGAGCCCGCTTCCGCCGCTGTCGCTGCTGCTGCTGCTGCTGCTGCAGTTGCAGTAGTTGGTGGCCGCCTTCGTCGCTGGGGGTTTGCTCGCTCTCGTTCTCCCTCCCACTCCCACTCCTCCTCCTCCTCCTGTTTCCCAAAGTGTGATCTCAAATCTGTGACTCAGAGACTTGCAATCCTGTTACGGCAGCGTGTGGTTGGCGGAGAGAGGAGCGAGCCGTGGTCTCCGGCGGTCTTGATCCGGCGAGGCAGGTACTGTACCCTGCAGGGCTTCGGGGCGGAGGAAGGGACCGGCGGGGGCGCGAGGTCCGGGCCACGGCTGCACGAGACGGCGGGCTTTTGCAAAGAAACTTCCTGCCTTCGCCCCCCCCCCGGGTGATGGGGGGGAGAGAGAGAGCGCCTGTGGAGAGCAGCGGATCAGTGGGTGTCGCCTTGCCTGCGCAAGCCCCCCTGCCCAGCCCCCCCCACCCGTGGGAGACCGAAGGGGAAGTGAAGCCGAGCGGAGCCTTGGGGACTCGCCGGGCTTTCCTGTGGGGCGTGGGAACGAGGGGGAGGTGAGGGGCGCCTCGGCCGCGCTTGCAGAGCCCAGCGGGCCTCGGCGCGCGCGCGCGTTTTCTCCGGGTGTTTTCCCGGTGCGACACAAGCAGCAGCTGCGGAGCGAGGCGGAGAGGGCGGCAGCCCCGAGAGGCTTCGCAAGGCAAGGAGGGTCGGCACGCGAGGACGGGCAAACTTTTCTTTGCGGGCTTCCCTGCGTCTGCAGGCGGCGGCGGCGGCCCGCGTTGCGCGGCTCTTATTTGTGCAGCTACGCAGGTCGCTCTCTGCTGCTCGGGAAGGAGGCAAGGCTTGCCTTTCCCCCCACGGGCGGCCCACGGGCTGAGCCGGCCTAAGATTAAAACCCCCCTTCCCCTCCCCCGGCTTTGCCCGCGAGTGGGGGCTGGAAGGGGAAATCCAGGGAGAGGGACCTCAAAGGCACGTTTTCTGGAACACGTCCCGAGTTTAAAACCCTTTGCTTTCTCCCACCATCTCCCCTCTCCCCCCCCCCCCCGGCGTGCCTATAAAGCACTTTAATCCTGTGATCGTTCAGTTGGAGGAAATAAGAGTGTGTGTGTGGGGGGGGTCGTCGGATTTCTAACCTGTGGCTTGTGTCAAAGAAGAGGCACAGGCCATGCAACACTTCCTGATTTCGAGTGGCCCACCCCCGCGCAGTCTGCCTTGTCCGCCCTGGTTAGGAGATGAGTTGAATCCGGAGAGACAAGCCTTTCCTTTTAACTCTCGGCGTCTTGCAGCTCCTGGTACAGATTTTCCTGTATTCTGAAGAACACCACCGGGCGCTTTATTCCACGTTTGTTTGTGGGCTGCAATGCCTTATTTGCTAGACTTGAGTGGATCCAGAAAAAGTCCCTCTCCTTCATCTTCCGATAGCTCCGCCCTGAACCTTAAAGTTGTATTTGTGCATGTACTTCTTCTGCCTTCGTATCTCTAGAGGGTAGGTGCTTTGTATGAGACGTGGTAAGAGTTATTCCTTAAAAGAAAAAGAAAAAGAAACCCTTATCGTCGTTGAGTTGCTTTAGTTACTACGTCCTCATCGCACCTGTAGAATGATTTCTGTCTTTAACTTTTCCGGCAAGTGTGTGTGTGTGGATCCGGTTGTGTTTAAGAGGTTTCAAGAGAACGAGAACGGAGTTTGAGAAAAGGATCCAGGTGCTACTTAGATTTCTGAGCTGCCACCCTTCCCCCCCTTCCCAAATTGCGATCTCTTCTTGTTCCAGCTAGTTGTTGGATTGCAGAAGTAGCAGTAATGTTGAAAGATGTTTCTACATTACAGCCACAGTGACTGGCCAAGGGTGTATGGCATAGCTGTGGCCGGTGACATCACTCAAGTTGTTCTGGTTCATGTGGAAAATCGATGGGAGCTTTGCTATTAACTGGAGGGCCTAATTGGTTCTTGTACCTGACACTCTTGTATCAGAGAAATGTGCGTGTGCCTTGGCTCTGAGACAGGCAGCTTCCAGCCAAATCTGTTTCATGGTAGATCAGAGAGAGCGAAGGCAAAGTCAGATGCTGTTTTACTGGTATTCATCCTCTGTGCTCCAACAGAGTGTACATTGTTGCAGACCGTACTTTCTGATAGATACAATTACATTCCAAGATTCTCTTTCCTCCTTTTTTTCTTCTTCTATTATTTTTTCTTTAGGGAGGGAGGAGCTTTTAAATTAATGAGTGGCCAAATGTATTATCTCTGCAGTTTTTGTGGCTGGATAACTTGCTTCTGCCTGATACTGAGTTTGAAATCACTTGTTGCATTTAATTGGTTCTGCACCACTGTTCATAAAGAGCAGACAAAGGGATACATATGGAAACTGCATGTTATTTGTCTTCCTGTAGAACTTATTGAGTAGTTGATAGCAGTGTTGAATTTGAACTTGTGAGGTGGGCCTTGTACAGAAATGCCAGAATGTTGTGTCTTATACCATTTCTGCTAAAGTGAGACCAAATCTAACCACACCTCCACATCTGTTGAGCTGCATATCCCATAAGTCCAGCCAGCACAATTAGGGATTATGGGAGTTGTAGTCAAAACAACTTGGAAAGTCCTGGTCCCTTAATCATAAAAACAGTGGTTATTTTTTATTATCCCACAGAGCTTAGGTTGCTGAATAATATAGGATAAGCTTTTGTGGAAGAAATCCTGATCTTGCTCTTGCCACCTGTAGCCTCAGAGCGACGGTTGAGAAATAGACATGCTGAGTTGCTGGAGACCTGGTCGAAGAAAGTTTTAGTGTTATTATGTGAGATCTTGAGTTCTGCTTTGAAGATATGCCTTCCTTTCTTAAGAGTATGATCTGATGAAATGAATGATTGGAACTTTGATGGGCAGTATGAGTTGTGTACAGACGCCTTTAAAAACTATTTCATATTCTGCACTCCTTCCTTAATTGAATCAAAACTATTTCCAGGCTAATATAATTAGTCTGGGCAGAGGAGCAGTAGAATCAAGAGCTGTTTGTTCCATAATACTTGCAGTTCAATCTTGCACGCATACAGATTTCAGCAAGGCTTACTCCCAGGTCATTGGATTGCAGTAGCAATGATTTTGTATCTCTCTCTTTGGTGTTGATCCATTTGCTGGGAATGAGGAAGAGCATAATGGAAGCCTTCATAACTGTCACTGCATGGAGAAGGAATAGAGTTATTGCAAACTCCACAGGTTTCAGGCATCTTGTTACTAAAGAATGAACTTAATGACAGCCTGTCTTGCTGTGTGGGTGGTTGATAAGAGTCTGGAAAGATGGAAGAGCACAGCTGTATGTGTCCCAGCGATGTGCTGTGGCAGCAACTGGGAGAACCAGCCTATAGCATGTGTGTTTGAAAGTACTGAACCATGAAGATGATATTTTGAGTGGAAAAAACAGTGGGGTGTTAGTGTGCATAAATTTGGGCTGGTTTCTAGTGCAGAAACCATGACTTGCCTTTCTGTCCCAACTCAGGGCCTCCCTTGAATTCTGGGTGATTTGTGGTATTTATCTGTTCATGCTGCTTTAATCCAGTATGGTGGTCGCCTCTTACCTGTTCATCTTTGTGTTGATGCACATCCCTGCCCATGCCACTCAGAGGGCTGTGTACCTCACTTCAGGAAGTTGTGACTTACTGCTGTGTCAGCCTATGATTTGCATAATTCTAATACTCCCCGCAAAGTATGTCTTTTAAGTCATGGATTTTAGTTGTTTTTGTTGTCATTCTTGCATTTCTTGACAAAGACACTGTATTGATTCACCATTGCAGCAATGGAAGCTTATATGGGTTTCCATCTCAGTAAAATTATTGGGGCATAATCAAAAAGTGCAGGTGGATGCAGCCCACCTGTTTCTTGCACTGTGAAGCTTGGGGATGAAGGAGTGTGGACTGAAATGAATGGATTTGTGCGAAGGTGGTAGAGATTACTTACTTGAAGACAAAGACATGTTTGAGTGCAGCATGTTAATTGTGTAGGTTTGTAGGTGAAGTATCCAGAATATTGCAGAAGGAAAACTGGTAATTAATGGACCAGACAGTATGTTTCTCTGTTGATAAAGTGTTAAAATATAATTTTAGACCTAAAAAAATAAGTGGCTACTTCAGCTTCAGTTTTGGGATAAAGGTGGGGGTAGAAGTAAATTAAATAAACAAATACAAATAAAGAAAAATATTTTCCTGATGTTGTATTTTGGAAGCTCTATAAAAGTTCTCTAGAAGGACTGCTTGGAGAATTCCATCTGAACTGGCCAGAAATACAGAACTAAATTTGTCCTGGGTGGGAATTGCTTCCTCAGTCAGTTCACATTTGTGTATGCCACAGTAATGAGACATTTGTCTACCTAATTATTTTTGAAATGCAGGGTTGGGAATACACAAATAAGCCCATAGGAGTGAGGTAAAGTAACACTGTTGAACCTAAACTTGATTGGGGTTGTCATATATGAGCAGTTGAGCTGTAATTTGTATTGATAGTTTAAATATTCTTTAAAAATCTTGAATTTTACCTAACATGCTATGTTTTGAATAGGCGTTCAAGGGAGAATAAAGTTTAAATGTGAGTACTTTTCAGATTTCTGTGATGTTGAGAGTTCATGATTTCAGGCACAAAGTAAAAACCATATTCCTTTATACCAACTTGTGCAGTTTCTCACATGGCTGGAATATTCACCTGCTGCTAACAGGTAAACCTTGTAGGTTTTTGTTTTGTTTTGTTTGCTTCTGTTTTTATAAAAGGCTGGACAAACTGTAGAGGAATTGATATATAAAGTTTACAAAGCTGATGTTGTCTTTTCATGCTTTTTAACACAGTTCGTAAACATGTAATGTAAAATAGAAAGAAATTACATAGCTAACTGGAAAGTCTTTTTGACTTCATATCCTTCAAGTAGGGAAAAATCATTTTTATCTTATATAATCCAGCTGTGCTACCACTTCATTATATAACATTGTTTGCTTCCCATCAACTGATTCCTTCCAATGTTATGAAGGTAGAAATAATTTTTATGGTATCCAAAATACATAGAGGGTAGGACATAAATCATGACTACTGAAGAATTAGACAACTTTAATGTTGACAATGAAGAAATTAAAATTGTTAAAGATATTGTGTACCTTGGTTCAGTCATCAAATTGAGACAATACCCAATAAATCAGAAGAAAGCTGAGACTCAACAATGAAGAAATTAGAAAATGTCATCAAATGTAAAGATGTTTAATTGGAGACCGAGACCAAGGAC